AATATAATAAATAAAATGCTCAGAAAATTGTAGTACAGGATCTTCGTAAGTTGCTCTTACAGGTTCAAAAAAAAAATTAAAAGTAAAGAACAATGTGACGATTTTTTAACAAATTGTTTTCAGACATTATAGTATCTCTGATATAAGTATTGTCAATCTATTTTATCAAATTGATCAATCGTTTTTTTATAATTAACCTATTATAATACAATCACGTATGTGTATAGGTATTATATTTTTATAATATTTCATTACCAATTACCACCATCAACTTTCTATAATTTATTATTAATTATTACTGTTTTTCTGGAACAAAACCTCTAATAAATCCTATTCGGGAGGGATTAATAACGAGAAAATTATTAATTCCGCCGGAAATTTTTACCTAAATCGCAGTGTAGTAGCTACCTACTTACTCAAAGTAATTTTCTAAAGCGATAAAAAGTTTTTTACTCTTCCATTTTATGCCGATAAGTTTTTTTTCTTTACGACATAACTTTATTATACATGCTTTCTTGTATTTAATTTAGTCTTTTTTACGCTCGACTGGTCACGCGAAAGCACTTGTAATTTTTTTAATCAGTACCTATTACCTAGATGTATTTGTAGTGGAATTTGAATTTGTACTTTCGGTGATACAAATATTATGTCCACTTTGATTTTCAAAATATAAAACTGAAAAAAAAAATCGAATACTGTCAAACCGAGAACAAATGTATTTTGTATCAATTCTTTTTAGTCAAATGGATAACAAGGACATACACAATGTTATTACGCTGGATTTCTGTCACTAGCCTTTTCTTTTAGTAGACGGACGATTGTACAGTTTAAGAAAAAAGTTCCATACCTGTGTTTGGTCGTCGTTAAGTTGACAGCTGCTATAGAATAATGTAATATTCTAATCCGTGCAAACGAAAATGTTTTTAAGACCCGATTGTAAGTTGCGGAGAAAAATTGATTATGAAAACCTTAGGAAACAAATTTTCATAAGCAATAATATGCTGCTCATCTTACGACGTCGAACGATTTTCGGTGGTTTTTTTTTTTACTAATTCATAAATTATCAAATTTCTTAAGAGAATTTTAAGGACTCGTTGAAATTATAATAAATTTAATATTAAATTGAACTCTGACGCTATTTTGTAAACATTAATTATAGATCACTAGACATTTATTCGAGAATAATCGCGGAAAACACTCAAACGGACAGTGCGGGTTAGACTTGGTCGCGTTGAATATCCAAAGGGGACGAGATCACGGACTACCGGCGTATCCGAAATGGCGTCAATTGTGCGGCTTTCCCAGACCGCGAAATTTCGACGATTTAAAAGAGCTTGTCGAACCTGAGACGTTACAAACGATATCGCAATTATATAAGTTAGTATAATCGATCAAAAAAAATGTACAAAAACACGACGCACACTGCGAACAAAATAATTGACATAGTGAAATTCGTCGATCTCGTCATTGTCAAAACGATAACTTATGTGTGCCAATATGAAACTGCTGTTACAAGACTCGTTTAACTTCAACACAAGAGTTTTATTCAAATATATACGCGTATTATTTACCCCTATTACGAAATCTATTACGTTATATCGATCCAGTAAATCCAGTTTGTTATAAACTGTATTCCGAAATCTATTCGAATCATGGTATATTTTTTTCTGAGTAAATCGTAATTTATTTTAATATAACATATGTATGTATCTATTGTACTTAACGTCTCGTTGGAGTGCAGATTACAGCGGCGTTTATATACGCGAGTCAGGGGTGTTCTCAATAGGGAGTACTGTGGATGATACATCGCTCTCCAAAAGATAACAGAACCCAGACCTTCTTTTTCTTTTTTACAATAATTTGTTATTTACAAAATACCACACGTGAAACATGCTACATCGTCAAAAATATTAATGATTCGTTTATTATTAATGTCAAATGTTTATAAAATTGTGTGATACAGTACTTACATAGATATTATTATACAGGGTGATTCACTGAGGTGCTCACCCCATTTTTTTTTTTTTTTGTTAAATTTGTGCATACATTTAAATTCTGATGTTTTTAAATTTTTAAGTATAGTTAGAGCATATTTAAATGTATATCACTTTTAAATTAAGGTAGGAGGAGAGTATTGGATTATCATTTGTGCGTCGGTATGTTACGCGGCGTTTTAATAGTGATCCACTACTCTCCTCCTACCATAACTTAAAAGTCGAAAATCTCGTTAACGGTTTGACGGAAATCAAAAATGTTGATACCAAAATTTATTTAAGTTAATACTCCATCTTCATGGAACTTTGAATACAGGTTCTCATTTGAAAACCAAAGTTGGTATCGCCATAGAATACTCCTTAAATGTTGTGAAAAATCTAAGTATTCAAAAATATAGGGCTTTACCTACACTTAAAAACTGCATAAACTCAGAATTTTAATCTATGAAAAATGTACACAAAAGATGGGATGAGCATGCTTAGTGAATCACCCTGTATATTAGTTATGACTTTTTCTTGATATTTTTAACAAATATTCATACCGCCCTCTAAAGAAAGGTCTTAGTTATGCCACTAACGCATGCGTTAAGTTTTCGATTGAAATAAATAATTATTTTAAGTTTAAACGACTCTAAAACCCGACAAACGTCGTTGTCATCGTCGTCTCATTCATACACCGCAGAACTAAAACGTAGAAGTTAAATTAAAGTTTAAGTTTTCCTATATTTACAAACGCCACCGTAGTCGCTGCCCGGTTCTATTGTAATATTATTATATTATAATCGTTTCGCCCGCCACCATTACCGCCGTATTCCGGTTCATTGTCGAAACGGTTTACGATACGCGATTCAAAATAATATTGTTATTATACCTATATAGGCAGTATTGTGTTTCATCTAGACAAATGAGAAATGAATCATCTGAGCCGTGATCTGAGATAAACAATTTAATCATCTAGATACATTTCTATGAACCGTAATCCGTATATTTATTACAAATAATATACCAGGCAAAACAATTAATTTATATTAATATAAGGTTGAATATAAATTTTAAATCCCGAAAATCACATGACCTTGATGAAATGTAGACGTATAGTATCGAATCTGGTACACTTTTAATAATTTTAACACTTTGTTTCACCACAGACAATGGACAAAATTACCTTGTTTTTGTCTAGTTGAAAAGTTCCTGATTATTTGTCTTTATCTAGATAATTAAATTGTTATGTATCTTTTATCTTTATCTAGACAATTATCCTAGCAATCTCCAATCTCGATCTAGATATTTTAAAATGTATCATTATACAACACTGCCTATAAACTATCGCCGACGCGCGGGCTTATGTAATATTGTTTTTATTCTGAGCCTTGATTCGGTCAATCAATTCGTTACAGGTCGGTAGACGATTTGGACCCGTACACGGGACTGCTGTCGGAGAAGCCGTTGGACGGAGGGATTTTAGGACCGACGATCACGTGTCTGTTGGCTGATCAATTTCTACGGGTGAAATCGGGCGACCGTTATTGGTACGAAACGGCCGAGAAACCTCAAGCCTTCGACGAGGGTAAAAAAAACACAAAGCTGCACCGACATACGGCTCATACGAAAACCCTTATTCCTATTTCCCCGTAATATATGCTAATATTATTGCATTCAGGGCGATTGTTTTATCTACAAGTGAATTTGACTTTGGGTTTTTTTTCTGCTGTCATGTAAAATCCTTGTTTTACATTGATATTTTCAATATTTTATGTTTAATTTTTGCCGTATCTAATTTTAGCCTGAGGAAACAAAGTTGTGTCCAAAACCAATTATTAAGGGAGGTTGTTCCCTCCCACAAGTATTGAGGAGGAATAACCATCTTCCTTCAGTTCCTTTTGAATACTCGTAACATTTGTCCCAAAGAACTATTATCTGGTCACTTTAAGTATACTCAGTGAGAACAGGTCATACCTAGTATTCAGACTTACCTTAATCTTTTTTTATCACTTTTCTTATCGAGATACCGTATGGCAATAATGCTATTTACATATTTACCAGAATATGGTTATATTCTTCTATATCTAAAGTAGTGGACATCAGTAGTTAGCTGTAAAAGTTTTATATTCAGTTAAAAATTCCAAATTATTAGCAAGCGACTAATTACCTTTGTGTATACAGGATTATTTTAATAGTTTTTACATTTCGATTTCTCCGCTACAATCGAAAAATCGAATTATTTAAATAAAGTCCTCTTATCTACCTTACCTGTACCTATTATCTTATCTAATATCAATATTCTTTTTTTATCTCTATCTGCAGAACGATTTTGAAGCATTTATTTTTTTTATGCAAATCTATTTTGCTTGTCTGTATCTCGTCGACACTGCGTCATGTCGGTCATCTATCGGTTATCAATATACGTATTTTTCAAACTAAAATTCGCGGAATCACTTTGTACGCATCAATGCTTCTAATTCCATAGCATAAACAATACAATTTAATGTGGTACTAAAATACTATTTTCGTTTCGTTGTTTTCGGTTTTTTCCTCTGAATCATATCCGCACGCACACTCACATATTGTATATAGATGCATACAGATATAATGTAATAATAATGCGAGTGTATTATTTTGTTTGTTGGTTGTATACGGACTTATAGATCAGCTGTCAGAGATCCGGAAAACCACGTTCGCGGCAATAATTTGCGACAATTCCGGTGAAATTGAATCCGTTCAGCTGCACGTGATGCACAGCTCCCGGAAAATCGGTAACGAGAGAGTTGGCTGCGACAGTTTAATAAAAATGTCTCTCGACCCGTGGAGAGAAAATAACGTTTCTGCGGCGACCGTCACGATCAGAGCCAATAATAATAATAATAATAATCAAAGCTCAAAAGCCGAAGACGGGCGTATATAATATAATAAAAATATATTCGTAAAATAATTGGCTCGGAATTTACGCGAATTTACTGTGGGATCGGGGATGAGGGGTGGGGGCATGGAGGATAACCGCACTTAATTGGAGGTCACAATACCAATAATAAATATTTAGGAGGGGGAGGGGTGTGATAATAAATTTTTAAACGAATGAAAATTTATCGATTAATACTTACATTTTTTTTTTTAACCAATCCCAGATCACAAGCAGCTATTTGCTACTTGTTAATGTGTAGCCGTGAAATTAGTTTAAAAACATATTATGTCCATGTCAAAAATATAATTTTACAACTTTTACTCCAATAAATGACTTTAAAACTAAAAATAGATTACGACTTACCTATTGATGTTCAATTTACTCGAATACGAGGCGGTGGATATTCAAAATTAAAAAGTGCATTCATTTTCACAAAATATAGTCAAATAATAAATTAATATTTTGCGTCATTTTCCTGTAAACAAATTCGTGTTATATGAATTTCATTGTAAACTGTTGCATGATCGTAACAATAGTGTATCTACCTACTCATTTCGTGATGAAACATTTGTTGTGAACGTCAAAAACGTGCGCGCTCACATCCACTAACGGAGGGGAGGGGAATGAAAATTGAAAAAATGTGCTAATAAGTTTTAATAGAGCCGGGTAAAATAAAAATATGAAATTTAACACTACGCACGCAAATTGGATTTCAAAAATATTAATTTTTTCCGACATTTTAATTTTTATATCAAACATTTTAACACGAGTGGGGGGAGGGGGGGTGGCAGTCTCTCGATTAGTCTGTGTCGGTGATTTTCTCGGTCGGACTCTTTTCTAACGAAAAAAAAACAAAAACTATAAATTAAATCGCACGTAATACTTGGAGACGACGAGTTTATTATTCCTCCGACTCTGTTTTTCTCTCCGGATATTCGTCGCGACAATCGTATAATCGGTATACCTACGGCAATGTAAATTTACCACTATAGACGCGACGATTTTCAAAAAGAAAAAGAAGAAAAAAAAAAAATTAATACCGTGCCCGCAAACCGAACGCGCGTGTATACAGAGGTATATAGATACCCAATACGTATAGGTATACCGCACCCATGGCCTCCGTTGGTTTTTCACGTTGTTGTTGTTTTTTTTTTTATTTCTATTCGTGGGGGAAAAAAACCGATACCATATACATTTTTCAATTACTTACCCGTTTCTCCATCTCGCATAATATTCGTATACACAATACGCGACGCATTCGAGTTCTATATATACGTATGTGCGTGTGTGTATAGACAGGTACCTACAACCTATAACATTAGCGAACGGGTTTTTTTTTTTTTTTTCCGCCATCCATTGAAATCCTTTTCTCCTTCGCAGCGCGTGCAAGCATAAAGATTTCTTTCAACCGGGGCCTATTTACTATGTACGCGCAAACAATTATTGTTCGGAATAAACGTTTATGTTGATTTATATAGGTGTGCGTTTCAAAAGACGAAAGACGTACCGACATTATACACGCGCCGATCTATTTGCTTTGATGTATATTATTACGGGTAGTATACGTACACACTACGGCGGGTGTACATCGCGGTTTTTTTTCCCCATTTTTTTTTTTTTTTTTTTTTTT